AAAAATTCTAACACTTCCGGGAAAAAGGTTTCAAATTTAGGACAAAATTTGTTACACTTTTTTGTAGTTTTCTACAAATTGTTGAACTTGGGTATATATGGGGTTTGTCTGAGAATGAACTAAATTTTAACTGAAAAATCTTAAAAATGAATAAATAAACATAAGGGGCACACAATATCACTTGGAAATGGCGTGCTATAGATATGACCGATACTGTATGTATGCCCATACGAGTATATGTACATATATACGTACATATGCACATAAATACTCGTATGCACATTTTTGCATGTATTTGTATTTATTTCATTACTTTTATATAGTTTTGCTATTCGTTTATTTTCAATCGTAATTTGATATCTGTTATATTCGTCTTTGCCATGACATATGCCATGCAATTGTTTGCGTTTTCAATTAAAATTTTCACTGATTAATTTCATGTTGCGGTTGCTACTCGTCTCATGGGTTACAATACTCAATGAATTGCATCAAGATTGGATATTAAGTTGCTACCGGTAAAAACAAGTTCGCTTGTCAGCAAGCATCTTTCATTGAAATTCTACGATTTGTAGTTGTCGACATAATAAAACCACATTAAAAGAAATACGGTTATTTAACTTTAGCATCGTCGCGACGTGTTCAAACTTAAAATTTGATAAGTGTGTTTTTGAAAATAAAAATTTTTTTTTTTGAAGTAAAACTTCTTTAGCGGCGCTTGGTTGGTTAGGAGTAAATTGGCAAATTCAACGGAAATTGCACACGGAAATGGTGCAACGAAAATGATGCAACGGAAATGGTTGGGACGGCAGCAAGTGCTTCGTGAATGTACATATGTTATTAATTTAACAAAAACTTGCTAATAAAAGGTTAAAGAATAACACTTATAAAAAGACCAATACAGAAATGAAAGTAAAGGTGAGTACGTATATAGATAAAGACAAGTAATTTTTAGCAAAAAAACAAACCGACTTCAACTCTCATATAAAAAAAAATATATATATATTAGGGCGGGTCAATTTTTTTTTCGACATCGTTCCTAGCAGATTCGGATTCTACATAAAATTCTAAGAAAAAAAGCCCTTTAGACCATAGCTCTAAAATCAATTTCGAGCCTGCGCAATTTTAAAAGAAATTATTTTTAATTAATACTAAGTCCATAATCAGATTAATATTTACTAAAGTGTTAGGAATGTTTTTTTTTTGTAATAAAGAATTGTGCTCGGGAGTTTTGTGATATGAAAAATTCATTTCTGATATCTATTTTTTATTTAAAGAACCGCAAGATGTGTGGAAGTATGTATGTATGTATGTACCAGGTTGCAGCCTGAACGGATGTATAGAATCGAATAAAATTTTGCCAAAGTATTGCCATGACTCCTGGACCTATAATAGGGTAAAAAAATTGAAACTCGCCAAGGGGGGGAGGGGATGAGGGATACCTCACATAGTGAAAATATTTAATCAGCTCTAACTTCGGAATTATCGTCACATGAACTCGAAATTTGAAATGCACAGATACCTATGTTAGGTGCTTATGGAAAGATATATGTATATAAATGAGTTTGTAAAAAGGGGCGTGGCACATCTTATAGGTGTGGAATCTTTTATCAGCTATAACAGCAGGCAGTATTAGTGATCTCATTGTATTGGATTTTGAAGATTTGTTATAATTGATCAAAGTTAAATACAAATAAATTATAGATGATATGAAGTTCACCGGGTCATCTTCTAGTCTTTAATATATACTCAGTTAATATACGGATTAATATTTACTAAAGTGTTACGAACGTTATTTTTTTAATACAATAAGAAAAAAATAACTATAATTTAAAGGA